GGGGGCCGCCGCCGCGGGGCCCCCGCTGCATCCAGCCGCGCCCAGGTGGGCGACGGGGGCGGACGCTGCGATCTCGGGGGCCGGGCCCGGCCGGGGGCTGCGGTCCCGCGCGGTCGCGGTCCCTGCTCAGCTCGGCTGCGGCTCGCACGCGCCCCCCCACGCGCCGCTGCACTCTTTCGCCCGCGGTGCCCGGGCGCCTTTTACCTTCCTTATATTTGCATAACAATAGGGCGCCTGGTGACGCGCGCGCCGGCCGCCGGGCGATTGGGTTGCACCCACGTGGGGGCGGGGAGTGGGCGGTGCCGGGGCGGGGCGTGTCGGGGGCGTGTTCCGGCGGCGGCGCGTTTCGCGGCAGGGGGCGCTGGTCGCTGGCCGCGCCAGTGGGGGGGGGTGGCCAGGTGGCCACCGGGGGTCCTAGTACAGCCCCGCCACCCGATCGCACCCGGGCCCTCTGCATCTCTCCGCCGCTGTCGTACCGCCCACTCCCCCTCTGACCAGCCGGCCAGCCGGGGAATTCCAAGCTGCCTGCGCAGCCAGACCTAGGCGGGCTCTGGCCCTAAGCGCGTCCCCGAGGTGGGCCCCAGGGCAGCCTCTCCTGGGTGGGGGTTTGCGGGCATCTCCGACCCACGGGCCATGGCAGAGATCTCTCTGAGGCGAGAGGCGCGCGAGGCGAGACCGGGCCAGCCCGTTCCCTGGGGCTCACCGTCCGCGCAGGTGACAACTCCACCAACAGCTCGGGGGTGGGTCTTTCCCGCGCGAGGGCGGCTTCCCCGGCAGCCTGGCTCAGCTTTGTTTGCTCCCCACTGTACTGACATGGGGAGCCCCCAAGCCTGCCCTGAGGTCCTGCTCCTCTCCAGGTGAAGCCCAGGACTGGGGGCGTTCACAGCGGGTCTGTCAGTTGGTTGTAGACCACGACCACGGGCCCTGCCTCCTCTACAGCCCACCCGCTTCAGCGTGGACAGGCACATACCCAGCCAGGCGGGCAGTCTCAGGTAAGGCGCCAAGGGCTGCCTTGCAAGGGATTCTGAAATGACTCATTTCCAAACTGTGAAACCCATTTTTTTATTGATCACTCTAACAATTGACCGCAAGGCATTAGCAGTGGGAGGCAGGGCCACATTTCCTCCTTAGGATTTTACAGTTTGCAGCTCCGCTGTGGTCGCTGGAAATTAAGGCGGAATTATTCTCAGACCCAGCAGAGCAGGAGGCCGGGCACGCCGGGGCTTGAATTCCTTCTGAAGCCAGAATTCCTTCTGAAGCCAGGCAGGGAATTCTGAGCAGGCAGCTCCTAGGCGGTGGGGGAGACCACCCTGCCAGTCCTTGCCTGGGGATGCTCCTGCCGTGGCCGCAGGGCTCCTGTGGGTGTCTGCTCCATGCCCCACCGTGTGGCTACCCACGTGGGTGTACCCCACCCTGCTCTGTGCTCTGGGAGGGGTCACAGCCAAACTGGCAGGAAAAACCGGGCAAGCCCACTCCGGGACTGGCCCTGGCCAGCTCGAGCAGGGCCACGCTCCCCTGGCTCCTCCTGAAGGCCTGGGAACCTGAGTCCCCTAAGTGGGCAGCTTGGAGCTTGCTCTGGGCTTCCTGAGGCCCGAGGTCCCGCTACTTCTGCCCAGGCCTGCTCCTCTGGGTCTCATGGGCTCTCCCAGGAGCTCTTGCGGGGGCCTGAGGGTTCTTCCCAACGTGCAGGTGGGAATGTTGAGGCTCAGGTGGGGACGCTTGTGTTGCAGAGTAGCCCCCAACAGAGCAGAGATGGGGGTTGTGGCGCCCCGGCCCAGGTAGGGACAGCACCACCAGTCCTGGGCAGCCTACATGGCAGGCCCCTCTCCTGCCGCTCCCCAGTGCTAGCCGCCTCGATGAACACCGCCCCGGAGCAGGGCTGGTTGGAGGAGGGGTGCCCCAAACACAGATGGCAGGAGCTCCATCCTGGTCAGTTGTGTTTTTGTGCATCTGTCCAGGCTCAGCCACGTCGGACTGGCCGGAGGTGGTGGACATGGCCAGGGGTCGGTGGAGCCCTCGCTCTCAGCAGGCACAGGGCTGGCCCCTGGAAGATGGCCCCAGCCCAGGTGGGCTCCAGCCTGGCCTGGAGACACTGCTGGCCAGGAGCAGAGCCTGGGAGAGTCCCGCCGACATCCGTGGCGGGCGGGCAGACAAAGGGGCCCTGTGTGAACTCACTGTGGGAACGCGAGGCCCTGCCACGGGGCCGTGAAATCGGCAGCGGCTCCCAGCGAGGGCCGGCGGCTGGGCGCCCCTGGCAGGGACGGCGCGACTGCTGCAGTGGCGCTGCCCTGGTGGGAGCCTACCCGGTGTCACCGGCCTGCCCTGCCCCGGCCCAGAGTGGGGTCAGACAGACATGGCTGGGCCTGCCACCGCTGCATGGCTGTGACCTGAGCCTGTGCCTGGGCTCATCGGAGGGCCACGCTGTCCCTGGGGAGCTCGCTCGGGGACGCCTGGGCTTGGGCTCTTGCCCTGTGGCTGTGAAGGGCAGTTCAGCTCAGAGTACTCCAGGCCACACCCTGTATCCCCAGGCTGCCCTATTTGAGGATGGGGTGGGGGCACTTCCTAAACATTTGCTGAAGGACACATCCAAAAGGTGGACATTTGTTCCCAGTGCTGTAGGAGGGAGGGAGGGGCGGGACCCATCGTGAGCCAGGCCCCTCTCCAGGGTTTGGTGGCATCTCTTGGGGTTGTCGTCATCTCCTGCTGTCTGTGAGCTCCTGACCTGGGACCTGGGGAGACAACCCCAGCCTTCCCCACGAGGCCAGGCCCCGACCTTCCTCCCTGGCCTGGTCCTGAGGATGCTGACCCAGACGGCCCTGCCTGCCACCATCCCCCCCGTGATGTGAGGGCCCCTCTCCCCCCAGGCATGGGGTCCTTTCCTGCCCTGGAGGCTCCAGCAGGAGAGGTGTGGGGAGGGGAGGCCTGGGCGGGGCAGACGAGTGTCCTGGGAGGGCCTGGGGAGCACGGCACAGAAGGGGCAGCTGGCCAGAGCCAGCCGGGGCCTGCGGCCACCTTAAAGGAACTAAGCAGGGGCGGGCGGGCTGTGGGCAGTGGGGGCGGGGCTTCCAGCTAATTCATTAAAATGTGTCGGGGAGCGTGGGAAAGAGGAGAGTGTTTCTTCCCAGCAGCCCAGACACCTGGTAGAAGGACCGAGAGAGGACAGAGATCAAATAACAAACACTCAGCCCCGGCCAGCGGTTGGCCTGAGTGGAGGAAGGACGCCCCGGGCAGGAACTGCTGCAGACAATCGCTGGGACTGGCGGCTCCTGCCCGCCAGGCTGGGGCTGGTCGCTGGGGGCATGGCCTGGCATCAGGGACCTCAGCTCTCCCTGTCAGCCTGGTGTCTGTCCCTCCCTGGGAAGAGGCCCGATGCTGGCTGACCTGCCCTGGGGCTAAGAGGGTACTTTGGGGTCAGACCCCGAGTCCCAGGCTTGCTGCCAGCACTGGGGCCTGTGGTGGGCCCAGCAGGGAGCCTCAGCCCCACTATCTGCCGGGCCTTGGACAGAGGCACCTCAGAGCCCAGAAGAGCCCCGTGCAGGTGGCAGAGGGGACGTGAAAAGGCAGGGATCACACCCTGGGGCTGGACATGGCAGGGTGCAGGGCTGGCCAAACCTGACCAGGCCCCGCCGCAGCCTCTGCGGCGCGGCCTCCGTGAGTCCAGGGCCGCGGTAGTGCTGGCTTCGGTCAGGAGCAGCGTCTCCAGCACGCAGCTGCGCTGGGCTCGGGTGGGTGCCCTCAGCCGCTTGCTCTTAGTCTTAGCAGGTGGGAAGAGTGTGGTCAGAGCGGCCTCCCCAAGATCGGACATGGAACCAGGGTCCTCCTCCCAGAAGCAGCCCGGCCCCGAGGGTCCTGACCCTCTTGTGGGGTCCTGCTGGCTCTTCTCACCCTGATGCCCCTGCCTGACCCTCAGGCTCAGGCCCAGCAGGAGTGGAGAGCTGGCTGACGTGGGCTCTCCCCACCTGTGAAATGGCCTTCGCTCGGGGTCTACGCACCTGGGGCCTGCAGGTGCTTCTCACCCTGGGCTGAGGCAGCTGCTCCTCCCTGGCTCCCAGGCCCCTGCTGCCCGAGGCTTCTGCCTGGGCTACTCCGCCAAATCTGAGCTGGTTTCCGCTCCAGGCAGGAAGGAGAGGAAAGGGATGTGAGTGAGGGGAGGGGCGCATTCCTGGGGGGTGAGCAGGGAGCGGGCAGGCGACAGCGAGTAGAAGTCCAGGGCCAGGCCAGCCACTTGCGGGATCTCCCAGGCCCTCCCCCTGCCGCCCCTGGGGCCCCCACCTGGCACAGCACCCTTGGAGCTACTCCGGGTAGATGCGGGGATGGAAATGCCAGCACCCACGAGTGCGGAGGCTGGCGGTGGCTGGCACCCAGCGGGGTCCTCGTTGCTGCAGCCTCTCCCATGGGGGCCACCCAGCCCTGACGGGGGGCATGGAGGCCCCCATGGGCCAGCCCAGCAAGGTCCAAGCACCCCGACCGTCTGCAAGCCCTGTCTTCCCTGACAGCGGGCTCGGGGAGGGGCTCAGGACTGGCACTAAGCAGATGAAGGAGTCCACGGCCACTGGCAGGGGGCTCGGCTCGGCTCACAGGGGCTGGGGTGCCCTCCGGGACCTTCCTGAAGCGGGTGGCAACGTGGCCAGGTGGGAGGACCCCCAGAAGATGTTGCCACAGCAGGTGCAGCAGTAGAAATGGTGCAGCACGCCCACTGGGCCCCCCCAGCCAGGGCTGGGTGTCATTGCCCAGCGTCCTGGCCAGGTCTGCCGTCTCCAGCCAGCTGGAGCCCTAGATAG